CATCACGACGGACTCGCGAGGGGGTCGGGCAGGTGGGGCAGGCTCCTCCACCTTCTCGTGACGCTGAGGGTCCTGAGACGGCTCTGGTGGCCGCTCCCCTTCCTCCTCCCGTCTCTCCTTGGACGCGTTGGGCTGGGCGGTCGATTCGGGCACATGGGGAGGGTGTGAGTGGTCGTCTTGCTGTCTACCACAGCAACACCACCCCTCACACCTCCCCACTCTTACTCTCGGGAAGCAATTTCCCATCTTCTCCTATAGCGCCCCCAAAAGCGAGCTGTCGATCAAAAAACTTGGAGCCAATAAGATTGCCCTTCGGTAAGAACGCCGAACTGTGGCTGTGACACGCAGCGAAGGACACTTTAGCAAGAGCCGAAGCTCCAAGGCTAGAGATCGACTCCCTCGGGGAGACCACACGCCGCGCACCAGCAGCAGCACCAGATCTGGCACGCCCAGGACGCCTCATGAGCCACGAGAGCCGGCGCACATCCCATCTCGCACAGGGCAGCATCCTCGTGTCGGCAGCACAGGTGCGACTCAACCGCCGACAGAAATGGCGTAGATCAGGGAAGGGGTGAGGAGGATAGCACTGCACGCGTCGTAGCTCTGCTTCTTTTTTTCCCTTGTGAGAGAGCCTTATTTTTTTTCACTTCCGAGCTAAGCTTGCCAGCTCCCTCCCTCCCTCCTTCGGCTGACGCCTCCCTCCTTCCTCTCTTTAGCTGGCCACCATTGCAGTCAGTCGACACTCAGCTCCTGCAGAACGGAGGCGAGTGTGTGACAACAACGGATGATGACAGCACATGAGAGCTGCGGCACTGCCGAGCTGAACAGTCGCCCTTCGGCTCCTCTATTGCTTCCTTTCAGCCAGCCGCAAGACAAGAGTGGCGGAGCAAGAGCCGCAGCGGCCAAGGCCTGCAGCCGGTGGAGCCTGTCAGGGTCAGGGGAGGGCCGAGGCCGCAGCAAATCAGTGTGCAAGTCACAAAGGGGAGCGGCTGAGAGAGAAACCTCCGAGCAGCGACCTGCATCAGGACTTCCATCCGACCGCCAACAGCAACAGTCGGAGGGCAACACCGCGGAAGAGCCGGCCAGCTGAGAGTTGATCAGTCGTTCTTCGGCTCCGCCATCGACACTGCCTTCAGTCAGCCGACAGAGAAGTTGTCGACGAACGCCAAAGCCAGCCAACGAGTGTGGAAAGGTGGACGTTGAAGGCGAATGGCTGATAGAAGAGCTGCCGAGAGATGGAGCAAGTAACAGTGGGACGACGCTGGTCGCCATTGCAGTGTGCTTCTCCGTCGTAACTCCCCCGGGTCTGCCACGGCGCGCGGAGATGAAGGACGGTATCGCTGCAGGACAAGCAGGAAGCTCTTCGGCTCCTTGGGAGAGAGGGGTTGTGACGAGCTGGGCGTTCTCTTTCTCGAAGAAAGGCAAGCCATTCACGGTGAGCTGCAAGCCAGACAAAGGGACACGGGACGAGAATGCACACGGCGTGTCTGTCTTTGAGCAGGGATCTTCTGTGGCTTTTTACTTCGTCGTTTGTCTGTTTGCCGAGCCGCTGCACCAGTTGATTTTACTCGCTCCACCTGACGTGGCCTCCGTTTGCTGTACTTGTGGGAAACCAGGGCAGTAGAGTGTGCAATGGGCGATAGTCGCCACAGACTCATTTGACTGCAACCAACCACAGACTCATTTGACTGCAACCAACCATGCGCACACAGTGACACAGATACACACACAGTGACACACATACACACACACAAACACACGTCCGTCATAAACTGGGCGCAACCAATGTCATAAAATGAGCGCTCATGATCAGCTTGGCACACGAACCGAGCTGTGATTGAAGCTGAGGGCCTGCATGAAGCTGAAACAGTGTATGCTCATATTCATAGCCTACTCATACTCGCACCTCATGTCAAAGCCTATAGCTTACCCCTTGCGACACCTTCCGAGTTGTCCAGTCTTGCCAAGGGGAAGGAAACACGTCACTCCACCTGTAGTGAGGTGCGTCCTTCCCCACTCTGCAGACTAGAGACTCATTCAGAGGTGGTCAAGTCGCTGGCACCTGAACCAGCTTGAAACACTCGATGCAGCCACCTTTTGGCATGTATAAAAGCATGTATGTCTCCCGGCACCTACTCATCCCATCAGCCGCTGCGGGCCTGTGGCTCATCACCCAGTGCAACGGAAGCAGAAACTGGTCAAAAGCTTCGTGCATGGTGTATAAAAAGCCCACCCCCGCGCCTCTGGGATTACATCATTGCCAATGTGGGGACTGCATCTTTCGTTCCAGCACAATAGGCGCGGCTTGTGCGCCAAAGCTGGCCCTGCGGCAGGAAGGCTGGCATGTCTGCCCGTGGGGCCAGCCTTGCAGGTGGATGTCCAGCCCTGTGAGTGCAAGGCTGGCCATCTGTGCAGGGCTGGCCCTGTGAGTGCAGGGCTGGCCCTGTGTCTGCAGGGCTGGCCCCACGAGCGGACATGCAGCCTTCCGGCCGCAGGGCCAGCTTTGGCGTACAAGTCGCTTGTATTGCAGGCCCGTTGCCTGCATGTGCTGAGACACACGGGCAATTGCGAAGGGTGGGCTGGCACGCGGGGGAGACACGATGACGTTGGCTGGCCACATCCGGTCCGCTCGTGTAAATTTCTTGTTGGCGAGAATTCGAGACGGTTCTCAAAAGAGGCACATTTTCTTTATTCGGCAGCAATCTGCACCGTTTCTCTGCGCCTTTGGCTCCTCGCGGTTTTCCTTCTTGCTCCTCCAAGTCCCTTGAGGCAAGAAAAAGCAGGAGCCCATCGTTGCCCCATCGTAGCCCCTCCGGTGCTCCCCCCTCGAGAACATGAGTTTGGACGAGACGATAGCCTGTGTGATGGTCTTCACGGTCAACCTCTTCGAGAGGGGGCCGCTGAAGGCCATCACACAGCTGCGGCAGGACCTGCGGAACGGCGTGGACTTCGCCGATGTCGGTAGACATGAGAGACTCTAAGGACAGAACACGATAGAGCGACGGCATGAACCCTGTCTTTGTGCGATTACACGTATTCGCAGTCGCAAGGTCCGACAAGGCCGAAGAGGAGGACGAGGAGGTCCAGCGTTTCCTGAGGGAGATCAGGAGGGCCAAGGCGAGAGTACTCGGGTTGATGAGTGCTCAGGTATGCCGCTTGGCGGAGGGGTCAACCATTGCTCATCGCCTTCTGTGAGGTATGCGACAGGGCAACGGCTCTGGAACCCCGAATTGGCTGTGCCAGAGGTGAGGGCCATCTTAGGCACAGCATCAGCCACTTCTCTCTCTCTCTCTCTCTCTCTCAGGAATCAGCCGGGAAAGCCACAGCGGGCGCGGTCGACGTACAGGGTGCGCCCCCAGACGAGCCGGCCGCCGAGCAACGCGCCAGCGACCTCTATCGGCAAGTGGAGGAGGCCAAGAAGGGGACGGACGAGCTGTCGCAGCAGCTGTCTGAGGTCGAGGAGAAGCTCGAGAGACAGGCGGCTCAGGCAGGCGAGGCTGCCAGCAAGCAAGCAGAGGAGCACTAGGGGGCGTTCAAGAGGCGCTCTTTTCCCTCCTGCGAAGCGATGCTGATTGCGTGTCTCGTCGGGACGGTGTGGGTCATCATCGGCGGCGGCACCGCTTCCTGGGTGCCGCCGCCATGATGGGCCCCCTGGCGCCTGCCAACTTGGACACCATCAGAGCACGCGTCCAGCGATGGAGGGAGGAGAGGGCAGTCTGCACCACATCCCTCTCCCTCTCCCTCTCCGCCCCAGCCCCCAGTGCGACGGACGATGGTGTGGAGGGCCACCGTGAGGATGCGGGCGAGCGGAGGTCATCGAGGAGCCAGCGATGGTGGGGTTTGAAACGCGCTGATTTTGGTCAGCGGCACACAGACGACAGAGACAGACACGACACGGAATTCCAAAGCGGTCTTCTGTCCTTTGCCCTTTGTTGTGCTGCGTAGGAGAGGGAGTCAGAATCGTTGCCTGCATTTTATATTGGATGGCAATTGTACTCACTGACTGCGCACCTCCTAGACGCCAAGGTGAGAGCGTAGACACACGCCATTTGGGCACATGCATCGCTTCGAGATTGTATGATTGTTAGATTGCTGCGGCTGTCTGTCTGTCCTTGCTAGTTGCCGCGTGCCCGTCTCACCTCCACCCTTATGAGGCCGTCAGGTTGGAGGTAAGACGGGCACGCGGAAACTAACAACGACAGAGAATGAGACAACGTCCAAGTGACACACCGACACACAAACGCTGTATGAATGAGTCTCGACACAATCACGACACATCGATCCACTCGAACCGTCACACGCCCACCTCACTTGCACTTATCCCCCCAGGAATAGAACAGTCGTCAGTCCGTCTTTCCACCAGCTGTACACACGCGTACACCTTTCCATGCACCAACCAATGCATTGCATTCACATTCAGCTCGTCTTCACCTTGCCCTCCCCGCCTCCCCCCACCCCCTGCCCCTCTCTGGCAGCATCAGCACCAGCACCACGGCAAACAGAAACGGCACGTACACGAACCACACCACCGCCATGCTCATGCCCTCCACACACCGATAGTCCTGAGCCATGCGATACACCGCAAACAGCGGCCGCTCGTGTGGCAAAGGGCTGGTCTGTTCAGCGACGGCCTCCCCCACCTGCCGGAGCCAGGCCAGCAGCCGTCTTGGCCCGTACTTGGCGAACTGCCGGGGCACATAATGCGACCAGACGGACAGCAGCAGTGAGGCCACTGAGGCGACGCTGTGGCCGATGAGACGGATGGCCTCGTGACGGATGTGCAATACCCGCTCCGCCATTGTGCTGCCGTGGGCAGGGCTGTCTCCCTTTTTGTGCGACAGGTTGGCGTCGAAGAGTAGCAGCCATGTGAGCAGGAGATAGGGCAGGACGAACAGATGGCTTCGTCGCAGCCGAGGCCGCCATTTCCACCGCCATCTGCCGTTGTGCTGCGGGGGCGATTGGGCGGTCGTCTGCTGCTGCTGTGGCGCATCGATGAGTGAGGTGAGTGGCTCCACCAGCAGCAGCGGCGGCACCACTAATGGCGTCAAGTACACTGACGCAGCCCAGTTGTACACCTAAACAAAAAGGGAATGGGGTCAACGACAAATCAATGGATGGATGGATGGATTCGGTTTGGCTGGCTCACCGTGAGTGGTGCCAATGTGAGAATGGCCATCGCCCTCGCCACACTCTTGACGCACATCCACAGTGGCGGCATCTCACGGATGCTCGGCTCCCCTTCAGCCGTCGCTGTGTTTCCCTTTGCCCCACTGTCGTCGCCGGCTGGCCTGATGTTCGTGGCTGTCGAATGAGCGCCTCACTGACCAAACAGACAAGACCGACGGCGGCGTAGCCCATGAGCGCCACCCACAGCCACACAGACGCCTTCTGCAACACACAGCACAGCACACAGTGAGGGGTGCGGTGCCGTGGAGTGCAGCCTCTCGATTTACTGACCTTTCTGGCCATCCGCACTTGGCGCTTGTCGTGTGCAGCTGCTGGTGTGCATGACGGGGTGAGGGGGCCTGCATGCGCCCAGCGAAGGAGGGAGGGTGCTGATGGGAGCAGACCCCCACTGCCCCAAGATGACAGCTCGTCCACGAGACCACTCTGAAGAAGAGACAAGGGCCAACATACAAACCAAAGTTGTCCGCTTTCTGGCTGTGTGTGACCGATCTCACCTGTGTGGCGAGTGCAAAAGACGTGAGGCTGCCTGCGATGAGGCCCGAGAGCATGACGGTCGCGCCAAGCATCACAGCTCCCACGTCACTAAACACCCGACACTGAAACGTCTGACGACCAAACCAGCACCAGCCAAGACAGACAAATCCATCCATCCATCCATTGGCTGACCGCTGCGGCGAGCGGCATGAGCATGCCGAACACGGGGTAGAGGTAGAGGCCCGACGACACGTGGCTGTTGGGTCTGGTGAAGAAGTAAAAGTTGAAGGAATGGTGCAGCGCCTGCAGGGCGCTGCTCTGACAACGCAAGATGCCCTCCAACGAGCTGCATAGACACACACAGCATACACACAGAGAGCGGGAAGGGGATCGGTACAGATTGATCCTACCCGCCGAGCTGAGTGAGTTTGGGCTGGCCGTTACCGCCCCGAGGGTTAGACGAGGCCACTGCGGTCAACGCAGGGATAGCACGCCTGACGGCAACAAGGGCAGGAAGCGAACAATGCATTGCCTTATGATTGTGTGCATGATGGACTTACTGCAGGAAGGCCGAGTGGATTCGGTCGGCCCCGGCATCGGTGGCCATTCGGTTCACGGAATCCCAGGCCTCTCTGGGCTCCGCTCTGATGCCGTCCTGCTTGGCCTCTATCGCATAGGCGTTGACCAGGTCCTGGTTCGGCTGCAGACCGTTCACACCCTC